TTCATCGGCAACAGCACGGCCATCCAGGAGCTGTTCAAGCGCATCTCGGAGCAGTTCACCGCCATGTTCCGGCGCAAGGCCTTCCTGCACTGGTACACGGGCGAGGGCATGGACGAGATGGAGTTCACCGAGGCCGAGAGCAACATGAACGACCTGGTGTCCGAGTACCAGCAGTACCAGGACGCCACGGCCGAGGAGGAGGGCGAGTTTGAGGAGGAGGCTGAGGAGGAGGTGGCCTAGGGCCTCAGCAGGAGCCGTGTGAACTTTTATTTGTCTCAGCCTGTCCTGATGCGTGTCTCTCACTGTCCTGTCTCACATGCTGTACAGTGTACAGACACCGCATTAAAGCGTTTTCATAGTGTGAAGGAAAAAAAAAAAGCTGAAACAATGAAAGGGAACTTCCAGAAATTAAAACTGGATTAAAAAGAGGCCTTGGGACAGAGGATAGCATTATTGATGTCAGATGGATCTTGGTTGAAAATAGAGAATACTAGAAAGATGTTTACTTGTGTTATATTGATCATGAAAGGCATTGGACTATATGCAACATAACAAATGTGGGTAATAGTGAGAAGAATGTAAATCCTAGAAAGCTTAATTGTGCTCATCTGAAATCTATACACATACCACCAAGAAGTAGTTGTGCAAACAGAAAAATAGGATACTGCAGAGTTCAAACCGAGGAAAACTGTGTCAAGCTGTATCTTTTCCACATACTTATTTGATATGTATGCTGAACAACCCAAGCGTCGAGGACTCTCCTTCATAGGGTCGCTATGAGTCGCCTGCAACTCCACGGCACTCAACAACAACAACATGCTGAACAAAGTTTTCATTTGCTTGCCTCCACAACCAACACTTTTAGCACCAGCAGCCAGGAAATCAAGAGATGAGTTGCAATGGGAAAGGTGACTGTCAGGGACCTCTCCAGAGTACTGAAGAGCAATGACATCAATCTGGAGACTAAGGTGACCCTGATCCAGGCCAGAGTCTTTGCAATTGCTTGCTATGTGCCAGAAAGCTGGACAATGACTAGGGATGAGAGAAAGAGAATTGATGCCTTTGAGCTGTGGTTCTGGAAAATAGTGTTGAATATACCATGGACTGGAACAAACAGGTTCATTCTGGAGAGGGAGAAACCAGGCTACTCCTTGGAGGCAAGGATTCTGAAGCTCTGTCTGACATACTTTGGCCATGTTACAAGGAAAGGGCCATCATGCTTGGGAGGGTGGAGCTACGGTGCAGGAGACGAAGATCCTTGATGAGATGGATTGATTCAGTCACTGGGGCAATGGAAGTAGGTGTGTCAGAGACAATTAGGGTGGTACAGAACAGAGCAGGGTCTATGCAAGCGACTTAGTGTCACATAACAACAACAACAACAATGCTGAACAAAAAAACAAAAACAAGAAGGTAGACTACATGAGGAAGAATGTGGCAGCAGGGTTGTAGGAAGACTCATTAACAACCTAAGTATTGCAGATGGCAGATCCTTGAAAGTGAAGCAGCACTTACTGTAGAAGATCAAAGACTGCAGCCTTTAATATGGATTACATCTCAACATCAGGAAAACAAAAATCCTGACCACTGGAACAGTAGGCAGCATCACGGTACATGGAGAGACTGAAGGTGTTGATGATTTCTTTTTATCATTTAACTTGGATCCACGATCAACATCTATCATAACAGTAGTGAAGAAATCAAAGGAAGTTTGGGAAAATCTGCTGTCAAGTAGGGGTTAGAGTGCAGGAGGCAAGTTTAAAGACCAACGTGCACTAGATGCAAACCTTGATATTTTCAATTTCTTCCTATGCATCTGAAAAGTGTACAATGAATAAGAAAGTCAGAAGAAGAATTGATGCCTTTTGAATTATGGCATTGAAGAAGAGTATAGAAAACCCCATGGGTTGACAAAACTCCCCACAAACCAATCTATCGTAGAAGGGTGCAACCAGGTGCTTCTAAGAGGCAAGAATGGTGAAATGTTGTCTCACATTCTTTGGGCCTGTTGTCAGGAGGGGCCAGTCCTTGGAAAAAGACATCATGCTGGGAAAGGCACAGGGTCAGTAAAAGAGGAAGATTCTCATTGAGATGGACAGTTACAATAATGGACTTTAGCATGAAGGAAATTGTGAGATGATGCAGGATAAAGCAAGGTTCAGATCTGTTGTTTTAGACAGATGGCATCTAACAACAATAATGACACATGAAGTGTGTTGTACTGCTAACATATAAAGATCAGAAGTTCAAGTCTACCATTTGCAGTTAGGGAGCAAGAATCCCATTAAGATTTATAGCCTCAGAAATCCAGCAGTGGGAACCAAGTCAATGGAAATGGGTATCAGGGGTGCAGCTTAGAAGTTGACTGAAAACAAAAGTCCTCACCACTCCTCTCCAAAATAAACCAAAGCAACTTTTTAACTAAAATGCTAAAGTTAAAACCTCCAGTAGCAATTATTACTAGTTAAACTCTTCTACAGAAATGACTCTTAAAATGAATCCACGTTAAAAGCAATGAGGAAACATCCAACTTGCTTCATTAGAGACAATCCTTGACAATTCTATTTCCTTTCAAAATCTTTAACAGAATTCTAGGCATAAGTGTGATAATGTTCCTGAATTTTTATCCATACAGGTGTGATAAAATCCCCCAGAGCCTTCTTTGAAATATAAAAAATCACATATAAGCTGCTGAAGATTTGGTTTAATAAAGGTGGAGTAATTCTGCAAAATTCCCTTTCCTCCAATCTTCTGAATCCCGGGAGGCCTTTCCTAAGGCTCACAGTCTGAGAGATGGACCTCACCCTATTTCCAAAGGCCACATCAAAGAAAAGGTCTCTATACCCAGACCATCTGGGTAAGGTCAGCAGAGCTGTCAGCAACAGACTTTCAGTGGACAATTCATGTACTTGTGCTAATGGTGAGAGGAGCTAAAAAAATCAGAGATGACAATATTTTTATAAAGAAACTTTACTGCATCATTTCTGTATACAACAAACATAGGAAAAGGGTTTTCTTAATGAAAATTTTATATAATTTTTCAAAAGTTTAAATTGGAGAAAAATTATTACAAAGTTATCTAAAGCAAAAATACTATTTGACCTTCATAACAAATTATAATCCTTTCCATCATCTTTCATACTTAAAAGCAAGGTATTTTATACATAATTTATATGGACAGGCTTTCAAATTGCTATGTCATTTGCACCCAAAATTTAAATGTATCTAAGAAGTGAAAAGTTCAAGCACACAAAAAATTTTCTCTAAGACTATATACACAACATATTGCTTTCTTTTGCATGACTGTATACATGTACATTTTACAGAATCTTGCCTCTTCTAATGATACAGTAAGGAATCTATCTTGCCTTATGCTAAATGGTGTAACTCCCACAGATCACATACACCTCACCATATTGACTCAGTTCATTGCACTCTATATCCTGCAAAAATAAATCTAGTGCTCAACAGCTGGCATTATTGCTCACTGACATTTTAGTAATATATTTCTTTAACATAAGACAGAAATATAGTGCAATTTGATACCACTTAAACCCAAAAGCAATCTGGAATTAAACCACATGTATACACCCCACTTTTTTTCCCGATGGATGGGGCATTTTTCTTAAAATTGATGCTGAGTAGTGTGGTAGAAGAAAAATCTGGCTTTCTTTTGAAACAAAGACTAAAGATTAGAAAAGCAGTTTTTTGAGGGGAATGTTAAGCTCAACATTAAAAATGAAGGAATAGTGGCAATCCAGAGTCTGGAGGGAGGGAAGAAGTCCCTCATTTATCTCTGTCGTCTGGCTGAACACTATGGCTCTTGTCCAAAAGACTCTGGAGAGGCCACTATGCAGAGCTTCAGAGGTGTGATAAGGTCTGTACAAAGCTTTGAAGGATGGGTAGTGGCTTTGACAGTGTTCTTCAACTGACACCATATAAGGATCCTTGGGTTTCCGGGAAGACAGGAAAGGTTTCTAAGGTGATCTGGATTCTCAGGTCTCAATAGGTTCTGTGGCCTCAGGGTCTAAAATGAAACTCACTGGGAGCTAAGGGAGGAAAAACAAGACTGCTCTAGAACTGTAATGTCATGGCACAGATAACAGTAAAGAGTCATCGGGATGCCAGGCTCACAGACGTACTTGAGGAAACATGGACGAGTGCGGTCATGGTCACCTGATATTTTGATTTGTCATAACTTTTCATTTTAACTTCTCAACTGTTCTTTAAAACTGGCAAGCAATTGTCTTAGTTTTTGTCTTGGTAGTTACAAAAAAATATTCTAGCTGTTCCTGAATTTTCTTTTCAAAGGTTTACAAAAAGTTTACTGAAACTATTACTTTTTTTAAAACTACATTTCATTCACAAAGTGTGCCTTCCCACCAGGCTACCACACTATCACTTTATATCATCACTGCTCATCTCTGTGGGAACCTGATTGTCCACAATGACACCCATTCCACCAGGCTACATGCTACACAGCAACTGAGCAGAGCTTCTCCAGTGAAACTAGTCATACAGCTAAAAAGGAAAATGTCTGGCTTTTGGCCCAACTGTTTCCATACCAATCAGCTAAAGCCCACCTCCTCTCTGCTTCTTTCCATTTCAAATGCTTGTGTGTCAGCCTTTGAGGCAATTAGAACCAGACCAGTTTAATTTTACACTACTGATCTTAATCGTATAACATTCTAATTTTGCCCTGAGAGTGTCAATTCATTTTATAAATAATTATGAGCCCCATTTTATACATGGAGAAAGAGGCACAGAGAGGGTAAATGATTGTCCCTTGTTGTCTAGCAGATTGATGACAAGAGGAACTTGAGAGCCTGGCTATTTCTATTTTAATCTCCAGCATATTTCCAGGGCACAGTTTACATTTTCCCCCCCAGGAGGCTTTATAAACTGTGTTTGTTGATACTTGTAGTATTGTCAAATTCTCTGATTAACACTGGGTATTTTATTGCCCAAAACTACATCCTTGGTTTTTCTCCTGATAAAAAGATAAAATGTTTTGTCCCTAATATTTTATTTTAAACAACAGAATTTACCAAATTGTCCTTCCAGCTGTAGCTGGCATCAAGCACAGAAGGGCTTAGCAAAAGGCAATGGGTAGGTGTTCTTCTTTGTGAACTTTGGACAAAACGGGCCTCAACATTTTACAATTGTCTTACATTCCAACATTTTCAAGGGAAAATAAAGTAAAATCAAGGCCCAACCGTGAGGTAATGTTTACTGCACTGCCATGGTACTCAGTGCGCCCCCTCAGATCTGGCAACAATTTAACATAAGGAAAGACTTTAGACCTTCACACCCTTTTAGTGAGAATAAACGACCTTAGCTCAAACTTTCCACAAAGCTGAGAAGTCTCCTAAGACATCACTCCATCCTTATCTTGGGCAGAGCTAACACAAATACCTTTCGCCCATGTGTCTTGCAGGTCTCTAACATGGAGAGGTCTATACTCATATTTGAAGATCAAGAAACCTCTGTCTCTCAGGGAAAAAAAAAGCCACCAAAACCCACAAAAAAACCCCAAACCAAAAACAACCCAAACTCAAAATCAACTAAGTGACTTGAATAATGTTGAATGGTGCGTAAACAGCTTGTAAAGAAGTTTCACAAAGCTGTCTCCATTCACTAAAGCTCTGAACAGTTCTGGGTTTAGTCAATAGCCAGATACACTGGTGGCCAGGCCTCTGTCTAAGCAAAAGAAGAAAAAAAATACCAATAACACAAACCTGTCTTTATAATTTTGAAAAAATATATCGATTAAGATAGACAATTCTGACTTTCTCTTTTTTTTTTAATAAGTTGTGCATTAAGAACACTTGGTTTCTGTCACTCGCTGTCCTACAGCTCTGTCTTCTTGTCAGCCTGGGCTGGGCTGCCGACTCCACTGCCTCCTTCAGCACCACTGCTCTCTGCGCTTGTGAAAGACAGGGATGCCGAGTTTATGCAGTATCTTTTGCCGGTTGGACGAGGTCCATCATCAAAAATGTGCCCAAGGTGAGCACCGCACTGAAAGAGAAGAGCAAAAATGTTAAGGGCAAAAAGTATACAAAGCAGGCTTTGAGAGGAACTCCCATTATGCAGTTTAAATGGATGACCGGCCTGTGGAGAAATGACGGAAACCATCCTGGGTGATTTCTAATCCGCCTGTCAATAGCTGCGAGGATGGTTTCTGGCAGGCTCTGCACCACATGCTGAGAAGAAGAAACACTAGAATTGTGCATATCAGAAATCATTGAGCAGCCACTGTATTTTTTGATCTGTGAAGTCTCTCAGCCAGCTGAAAAATTACTGCAGTAATTTTATGAATTGAGTTGACCCTTGATCTCTCCTTGTAAGAAACATGGCAGAATAAAATCTCTCCCCTTGGCATTACTTCTGGCTTTGGATGGGTGGGTTTCAGATATGCAGAGGTCCACTGTAAAAGATACTGTTTAACTGGCCATGACGGAGGTGATGTTTGCTTTCATGGGCAGTAAAACTTAACATCAGACAAGCACTGGATGTTCTTGGAGCCCAACAAAGCAATGAGAAGGCTCAACAGTTATGTCACGGTCACCAGGGCTGCAAGTACAGCAAACCATCTATTTCTGGCTTCCAATAGGTGGAGTGCCACGCTGGCTTCTTCACCTAAATGCACTGTAATATGTGGAGAGGGCATAAACCATTTAGTTTAGCTAAAATTCCTGCCACCAACTCTCCATAAAGCTGAAGGAGGAGAAACGGCCCGGAGTTCAAGCAAGGCAAAAAGGAAGGATGATTATGATAGTGTTTATCATTTTCTCTAGTAAGCTACCTCAATGAAGAATTCCTGCACTCATGACTCCAATGTTGGCTATGGTCCCAGGAGACCAGTCTGTCACTCGCAGCTCACCCTTCCACCCTCCCACCTTCCCACAGGGGCAACAGAGAAGAGAAGAAGGACTTTGGTGTAACATATGTGCACAACATGTGATAACACATTATTTGTAATAAATAAAGAAACCAAAATCCAGGTAAATGTTCCCACTCATTTGTATAAACCAATTATTTATACAGTGTCTGCTATTTATCAGGAATTGTCCTAGACTCTGGCCACTTGGGCAGAAAACTCTGGCCTCATGGAGCTTATAACCTATTGAGAGAGACAGGCAATATACAAGAACATAAGTGAACTGTAAGAATGCCAGGTCCAAGTACACACTACGGATGTAAAGGAGAGGAAGTCAAGAGGAAAATCAGGATTTGCAGTTGACATTTTAGATAACATGGCCAGGGGAGGACTTATTGAGGGGACTTAGAATAAAGAGCTGAAGGAACAGCATTCCAAACAGAAGGAAGAGTCAAGATTTAAGAAAGAGCATGAGACATTATAGATGATTTCTTAATTCTCCTCTGCAGAGAAAGAAAGATTTGACCATTACAATAAGACACTAATTGAAGAGGATGAGAAAGAAGAGAGGAAGGTGTGTATTTCTAAGGGAAGGACCAAAGTTACAATTTCCCACCAAAGGTGCAAAGCAATATTCAAGGGCTCCCTTGTTATTAATAAGCAACACAAACAGCAACGTGGACTATAGGACACTTCCATGTTAAAAGTGCATTCTTATTTTACTGCCAACATACTGTGTCAGCTTATTAAAGGAACTAAAAAATGAACCCTGAACTGATTTGATCTATTGCCTGGAAAATATGAAACAGGCCTACAAAACAAATCTTGCATTATTTTTACCACATTCTATGCAGGTTTAGGTAATATCAAGGTTGACAGCTCAGATTGCTTTTCCTTTCTATAAACAATTGAGGCCAAATTTTCAGGCATCAGCAGCTAAGATGCACCAGTAAAAAATCCATATGCTTACCCAATGGGACCAGGAAAACACCCATTTCTGCCTGCCAAAACAGTCAGTGTGCAGGCAACAGGAACCAGTGCTCTGGTGACTAATGTGTGCATGTGCAATAACTGCTTTCACACACAGCTCTGGCACTTTGATCACTTGGCATCTGAGAAGCAAAGTTTTCCCATAAAAATTTAGATAAAGATTTTTTTTTTTAAATGAGAGACTGTACCTATGTGGGCAAGATAAATGCTACTGCTTTTATTAATCATCTCCTGAGCTCACTTAGAAAACAGTCCTATTTACAAATTTTCCAGAACTGAAGCATAATATAGATATACTTGAAGCTATTTAAGAATAAGCTATATGGTCTTCATTTTCTAAATTATTCTTTTTTAAAAAATGCAAATGGCCACAATTCATTCTGCTAAGCTGAAATGGTTTTCAGTCTTCAGTTTCATTTGCTAACTTGTCATTAGCCTTTTGGTTCAACAAAAAGGAAAGCAATGGTTATAGATGTACCCTTAATCCAGACAAAAGTAAAAGGTGTAAAAGAGAAGTTATTGTCAGAGCAAGGTAATACAAATCATTTGCAACAAATATGTGGGCTGGGAGTGGGTTGGGGTAATCCTCAGGAAAGGAGGGAAACCCTAAAAACGTAGTAATGGTTTCACTATGTCTTTACACCAAGCTTGGCTTACTGAGGAAGGATCAAAATTTCAAAACACAGAAAGCTGTTAATTTATATGTATGCCACATACCTACCTGTCTACCCCATTGCCTGCAAATCTGCAAGGCCATCTGTCTGAGAGAAGACTTAACTGTACAGCACCATCCCAAGGTACAACCAGTTTCTCAAAAAAGGCCAAGAGCCTGTTTCTTTTAAAAGAGCATAAACCCTGAAGGCTCCTCCCTGAAGCAGAACGCACATGGAGCCCATTCCTTCCAGCTTCTACCTCTGGTGGAAGGCTGGGATGAAGGCTGGGATGATGCGTGCAAGCTGTCAGTGATGCATTGTTTCTTTAGCCGCCTGCGAGCTCTGCCTCCTTGGCCCCAGCCAACTGGAAATGCGTTGGGAATCACTCAGCACACCTGGTTGTAACTGAAACAAACTGGATGCCCGATGAAGATCTGTGAAACCTGCTGTTAATGATTTATTTTTGGGCAGAATCTTAGATGAACACTTTGAACTTTGGTTTAAGTGAGGTGGGGCTTCCTCTCCCTTTATTTTACAGGTAGAATGTAAAGTACACCTGAATAGTCTAGCCCTTATTCCAAAGAAGCATGTAATAATTGTCTAAAAGGTGGAAAACAATTAAAATATCCAGAGGAATCTATCATTACCTATACCTCCCTCTCAGAAAAACTGGCAACTAAAGAATCTGTGGAGAACTGGGGAAAGTGCCCCCCACTGTCCAGGGAAAAAAGTGATTGAGCATCAAACTTAACACAACTCCTTAAAACCTGACTGCAATTCTCAACTGTGTGCATAAGAAACACAAATAGTATATTCAACACAGTTACATATTTCTGTACTGATGTATTTCCAACTGTCCTAAACGGTTTTCTCCCAGCTATTCCTAGGATGTTTTAGGCTTTATTGTTGTCATTTTCTCTTACATGTTGGATCTACAAGATGAAGCACTTTCAAAGCAGGACTCATATATTTGGGCACATGGGGCAGGATGGGAAGGAGAAAACAGTTTTAAGAAGAAAAGCAATTTACTTTGCCAGTATTCAGTTCGCCCCCACTGTTATTGAAGACATTTGTGTGTTAGTAGGGGCTCCTTTCCTCTATGCTTGTGATATTAATCTTTTGCCAAGGAAATGGTTGTGAAGTCACCAGTTTAGCATTATGGTTTTACTGAAAGATCAAGAAAAAGAGAGATGGGCTGTGAGTCTGAAACACTATTGTAACACATGGGTATCTTTAATCATCAGCATTATATGAGCTGTCATCTGCAAAAGATTAATAGGTTTGGGGTTTTACCAAAAATTACTTAATTTTAAAAAATAGTTTAGATGGATGGATACTTACCTTTTTTGTTGACTTAGCTGATTTAAAACTAGTTAATAATGATCTAAAAGAAACGTAAGGAAATATACCATAGATTTCCTGCTGGTACTTGAAATACTGGTGACATAGCCTCTAAAATCAGAGCAAAACCCGAGCCACAGTATGACCAACTGACAGATGGTGTTTCAAACGTCAGCAAGGTCACCCATGGTAGACAGGTTTCAGCGGGGCTTTCAGAATAGGAAAAATTGGGAAAAGGATAGAGAAGTACACTTCTGAGAAAATGGGCCAATGAAAACCTCAGGGTTGGCAACTAAGTATTATCTGCTATAGTGCCAGAAGACAAGCCACTTGGGTCAGAGGGCACTCCGAAATACAACTAGAGAATAGCTGGTTGCCTTCTCAAACTAGAGTCAACTTTCATGACATACATGAAGCAAAATCTTTAGAATCTTCAACTGCTGATGTGGAATGACTTAAAATAAGAATAACCTGAGAACATAATAAAGAAAAATTGGAAGTTGTTTATGATGAAATGAAGTGCTTCACTGATAGCATTAGTATACTAAAATAATTGGTATTAGCCATTTTGAGTAATGCAGAAAGTACCAAAAGACTATGGAAGGACTATACAGAGTCACACTGTACACACACACACACACACACACACACACACACACTGGTTGATACTGAACCATTTTGGGGAGGAGCATATCTTCAAGAATCAACAGTACATATGGAAGACAACAAAGCTGCACTGAAGGGATGGGCAAAATTAAGGCCCCAGGCATTGGTGGAACATCAATTAAAGGTGTTTTGGAAATAGATGCACCTCTCAACGTGCTCACTAGTCTCTTCCAATAAAAATGGAAGACAGCTAGCTGTCCAAATGACTGAAGAGACCCATATTTGCTCCCATACCCAAAAAGGATGATGCAACAGACTGTGGAAATTACCAAACAATACCATTAATTTCACATGCATGTAAAATTTTTCTCAAGATTATTTAAAATGGCTGAAACAGTATTTCAAGAGGGAACTTCTAGGAATCCAAACTGGATTGTGAAGAGGATCTAGCACAAGGGGTATCACCACTAATATCAGATGGATCTTGGCTGAAAGCAGAAAATACCAGAAAGATGTTTACTTGTATTTTACTGATTATGTAAAGGTCC